TTTTTTCTAATCACTTCGGGTGGCGCAATTTTTACTCCAAAAGCTCGTGCGTAGGCTTCCATTAAATGCTGATTATCTCGAAAACGAGCTCGGGACACCCTATTTTTCTTTCCGGATTTGGAATCAGCATTAAATTTCAATTCGGAAAATCGAAGTTTWAAAAAAAGCTTAAATCAATTTCCAAAAGTAGGCAGTCACCTTAACTTACCCCGGGTGAAAGTCGCAGTCAGAGATCCAGTCTTTGTGTCCTTCACCGGTCATGATGATGTCACCACTATCAAACAAACAAAACATTTAAGTTAAAGAGAYACTCTTTAGCTAGAATCTACAACCCTGGAATGCAGAATAGATTTGGGGGATTTGGGAAATCCAGACTAGAAATAATGGGCAATTTAACGTTTTCTAAGACGTTGACATCTCACATCTTCGAGGACATTCTGAGCAGGATGAGATCTCGAGGGCACTAAAATAAATTCCCACGCCCTGGGGAGTGCCCCTGAGAGTACAGTACTATAAAACTGTAGTGTAAATCAAGCATAGTACCTTGGAATAGCCCACATCTTCCAGGATCGGTCATCACTAACAGTGGCAAGGACCTGTTTGCGTGGGTGCAAAGCAAGACTAGTGAAAGTAAATGGAATAAAGTTACGGTTAATTCCTTGAGTATTTATATTTTGTCATTGATTCTCATGGATTTTCATCATTGATATCGTATTCCAGAACTAGACCCTCTTCTATTTCTGTTTATGTTCGTTCTGGTGCGTTAAACGCTCGCGGGCGTGCAAATATGCATCTTCTCTGTACCCACTTTTCAAGTAAACAAGTTCYAAGCCAGGATTGCGCGCGTAAAACAATAAAAACAATTGTGAAAAGTGGATCCAGTCTAGACTATTGATATTGCGGCTTTTTAGACATTTAAAAGAAGTTGAAAGAAGTTGTTGAAAGCTGGGAGCATTTTCATGCAGCCACTCAGTCTTGCCTAGTCTCCATACTAGAGCTACTACACTAGGCTATGCTTATAAAGCACTAGTTTTGAAAGTCCAAATGAGATGCAGCCATACTTAATACTTTCTCAAAGAAAGACAGAGGTAACTCTAAAGGCCGGTTTAGACGGTACGATTTTCGCCTACAACTATCGTATACAACACGCTCGCGCCATCGTACAACTCGAGTCGTAGTGTGTAAATCAAGCCTATAACTCGCCTACGACAAACGCGAGTGTGTTGTATAAGATRGTTGTAGGCGAAAATTGTACCGTCTAAAACAGCCTTAAAATGAACGGTCGATTGTTGACACAAAACCTGACTTACCCACTGACTGGCAGATCGTGTGCATTGATGGTATGTGTCAAACGGAAACCACCTGATCTTGTTAGATGAGCAGATGGGCCTCGGTGGTAGTTTAACATGGGGTTTGTGCGAGTATCGACAGGGAACTCTGAATCCTACAAAAATGAATAAATTGCTGTTAACTAATCAAACCCCGAGGTCTTCAGGGCACGGCTATTCCACGTGATTGAAAGGAAGCTAATGAGAGGTGATTGCACTACCATTTACCCAGGGGCAGGTCCAGGAATTTTAGAAGGGGTTTGTCTAATACAAAGGCTACTAACGATAAACTGAAAAATTTGAGCTAAAGGGGGGGTGACTACCCCTTATACCACCATCCATACCATCCGCCCCTGTTACCTTTGGATGTCGTTTCTCCATTGTCTGAGATACATCTAGTTCACCGGTTTTCTGAGGAGGAACTGGACGTTGCTGAGAAACTTTGACTCTTCGTTCAGCTCCAGCACTGCCCTCTGTGATAGAACAAAAATCGCTTATTGGTCAGTACAAGCATTTGATTGGTGCCTGGTAACCAGAATGCCTGGAACAGTTGATGAAAGAGAGTGAGTGACTTTTACCTGCGATAAGTTCCTTGGTACCCCCAACTTGATGCAGGGTGCATTGTAATCCCGCCACCTGTGATAATCAATAAGGTAATATTGTTGAAGACGATAGAGGAGGGAGCTAAATATAGGAAAATAAACGTTCGTCACCAAGAAAGACGGAGAGCAAAGGCGAGTGCCCCAACCTTGTTCCCCTATATACACACCTGACCGACAGCTCTGTCTCTTTCCAGCTTGGTTAACATTTTTTCCTTCATAGCAACCTAAATAAAAATAAACGGATGAATGAACTGTTACCGCAGCCAAAAGACAAAAAAGGAGTAACTTCACTCAAGTTTTTAAGCGCCTATGCAACGGGAACGCCTTGAATCACGTTACAACAAACCTTGTTGGTAGCGACACTGAGCAAATTGTAATCTTTGCGTTACTTTTATTGAAAAATACCATTGCTTCGCTGCGGTATCAAGAGAAAAATTGCGAACAAGTCACCTTCGAACTAGTGGCTCCAATATACCTCATATTTCTGTTTAAGTGTTACAAGGGTAGGCTCGTATGATGCATAATGCTTCTTGAGTCTCTTGATATCTGTAATTAGCTTATTCTTCTCTTGTACAACTCTCTTGTGATGCATTCGATGGAAGTCTCGTTCCTTCCGTAGTCGTACGAATGTTTGACGAGCATTTCTGTGAAGAAAAAACCCAGAAATACAAAGTTAGATTGATATGGCGAGTGTAAAAACATAAATTACGATGAATTTTATTCAAAAATAGCTTGCTATCAATCTATCCAATGGCTAATCACGATGCTTTTTTATACGGACACGGTATACTATGTCATAAAAAGAGTGGAGTCGTTGATAAACGTTCGACTGGCTCTTATCACTGTACTGAGCCGTAACATGTTGGTCCAGGTCACATTTTACGTGCGACCTGAAATTGAGTTTGTTGGATGTTTGACGTATCGTCTCCATCGTTGCAAGAGTTCTGTTGTGTGTTTGGTGTGTGTATTGTAAGTTTCAATGCGGTGCGATGCATACAGACAAGGAATAACCACTAGAGTAGAGGGAGTGTTCAGTTGTAAATAAAGGCTTTTGCCTGACGATCACATAACGGCAGCCATGTTAGTTGGCAGGAAAAATGCAATCGTTTTACACGAGAAAGAAATCAATTCCCGAGAGCAAAGGGATTTAATCTTTTTGCCATTGAACCACAGGGTACGAAATCCGCTTCAAGAAAGTATTGTCATCGAGATATACATCGAAAGGTTACACCCACCACTATGAAACCACACCCTTTTTTGAAAAATACTTACTCTGCAGCAGATTTGAATTTTTCGACATCCTGCCTTAGGTTTTTGACCAAAGCGTCTAAATGCTGATTCCTGAAACAAGGATTGAAAATAATTACCACGTTATTGAATGTTATTTTGGGAGAGGGTCGCCAATAACACTCATAGTTTACTTGCAGTTTTACTTCTGTTGCAGAGACAAATTCCAGCCTCTATCATGTGCACCAGTATTTGACTATGACTTCCTAAATGTTGGAAAATAGATGTTCAAGCATCCTATCTTGCTGCCAATATCTTTTTTTGTTGTTGTTGTCGGCGCAAGACGCTGTACGATGGCTCCATACGCGCAATTTCGTCTTGAGTTGACAATACAATAAACAATCATGGCAAAACGTAGTCAATGGTTAAGCCCTCTATTAACTATGGCCAAAACAAAACAAAAACCTGCAACTGTGCAAAACAACCTGCACCTCATACCATGGCCCTATAGAGGATGCATTAATGTTTTAAATATTACCATATCTAAAAGCTTACTTGACATAAAGATCTGGTACGATACGGACTTCCTCTTCATTTAATAATCCTTTTTGTCGAAGTTCGTACCTTATTTGGAATAAAAAGTGATTTTCAGTAACAAAACAAATTCTCTAGTTAAAAAATGATTTCTCGAGTCTGAGATGAACATGATACTGTGCGTCATCAGTAGAGTCTATCACATACATGTATTCCCTTACCATTCTGTCTGAAAACAGTCCAATGTTCTATTCATTCCCATCTTTACCAGGAAATTTCTCACAAAATCTTCAACAACTTCTGGTCTCTATCAAAATGGATAAGATGAAAGAATGATAATCATCTGCAAACTTGTCAACATCAGATAACCACTCCATGCATTCCTCTAAAACTGTTACAGCCAGTGTGCATTTTGAAATGTTTTTAGAAATCAGAAGATATACGGTATTAATATTAGGCCAGTTTTTAGTGATCAATCAACAAGTTTTTTTGGTGTGGAAATGATAAATGAAAGTTGTGAGCAACACATAGGTACCTAAGTTCTTCCAGGGTCAATCTAGGGGATTCCTTAGCATAGTTTTGAGTAGGGGGGGGGGGGGGGGGGGGGGGGGGATGAGGTAATCATGATGGGCAATTGCAACTGTCATGTCAAAGCTTTAGGTAATTAATAACAGAAATTTAATCATTTTTGGTTAAAAATGTGGAGGGGGGGGGGGGTGCTAGGCTCCTCCAAGTCCCCCTGCCTCTGTGGTCCTGTATTGAATCAGTAGAGATGATTTTTAGATACTTACAGTCTTAATTGATGCACTGACAGGTCCAGATTTCTAAAGAAATAATGAAATGTCAATTAATGAAATCCAGCTTAAAATCATATAATAGATATTAACAGGAATAGCCTGTGTGCAGCCAAACTTTTAAACTGTTAAAACAATGGTGAGTTGAAGTTGGTCTTCACACAGGCTGAAAAGGAACACGGATGGCCAACCAACATCATTAAATCATTTCTGCAGGGTTCTAAACTGAAAAACACTCTGCATCTAGTGGAGATATATTTTCTCTACATACTACACAGTCATATACAAACAAGTAATAATTACTTATTGTTCTCACCAAAAGTAAGGTGTCTGTAGATTTCTCTTGTATTGTCTTCACTGCAGTGTCAAGATCTTCATCTCCCTCTGTTTCAAACAAATGTAATGGATAAARCACAAAATGTAACACAAGGACCAGTGTGTATTATTATATGAGCTAAAACATTGCCTTCTATTGCCTGGGTGCTCTTTTCATTTTCTTTTCATTTCCAGGATTCATTTAGACACAACCACTTAATTCAAGGGGGATGGGGGTAGGGTGACATGACCTATTAGTGCAAATGGTTTGTTGCTTTATCAATCAAACATACCTGTAACTGACAAGTCATCTTCAACAGGGACCTAGAATAAACATGATGAAAAACAATATTAGAGGTATATTCTAACCATTTTTAATATCATCATATAATAGGATTTTCAAAAATTTATTGTAATTATGTACTAACCTCATCATAAGGAAATTCATCATCGCTGTCATCTGCGACGGTAACCTCTGTGTTTTATGATAGTCAAGAAAACAACTGATTAAAATGATTAAATACAGACACTGAACTAAGTATTCGTTTTAAAGGAGCAAAAAGGGCTAGAATGAAATATTCTTTCTGCATTATTAACTATTAAACTTTCAGACAATTCATATATATATTTGAAATGAAAATTGTATAAAAAAATAAAGCAGAAAATCGTCTTGAAAACAACCTGTGAGATAGATATAGTCAAGACAAGAGCTTTCAAAATGCCCTAATGAAGTCAAGATCTAAACCTCATTATCTCGAAGAATTAAGATCGGATATAGCTAAACGAAAGATATGTTACAATCCATAGTATAAGGCAAAATATTAATGTATTTTCGTATTTAAATGTAACCCAAAACCTTCAAGAATTGCTTTGTAAAAAGGATACGTTCGAGGTAATAAGCAGCCTCTTCGTCCGCCATGTTTAGGATTTACCCTCGTTACCATGGTAATCAGTAAAGCAATCTTTGTGGCCAGCTGTATGCCAAATAGTAAAAAGAAAAATAAGGTATCAAAACACACCCATCTGGTAACCCTGCCTACTCGCCTTCATTCAAATTTTAGGAAAAGCAAAGGTTTGCTAGAAGGCTAATATTTTACGAAAATTAGCGTAATGATAGCCAAGAAAACAATGCAGATAAACCAGATAAACTATTTATTTTTGCCTTTAAATCGACGTGCGAAGGTTTGAGGGCCTTTGGAATAGAACATGACCTGCATATGCTATCTGCTATCCCTTTATTCTTTTTTTTCGGGATGAGTGGAGTGGGGACAGAAGGAAAAGGGTATTTTCTCGCGCAACTCGATCTGACCCGTCTTACCACAGGTATCCCAAACCACAGGAATACCACCATTTCAGCGCTGTTAACGTTACGTCGTCGTTCCATCGTTCCATCGTGTGAAGACGGGATGTGTCAATGCTAGGTGTTCTTCGTAAAGCGGAAAAACAAGGTCATTTTAATGGATTCCCACGAGGTAAAGCATAAATATTATTGCCCAATATATAAATCGTTCATTATTCTCTTTCTACGAACTTTTCCTTATGGGTTTAGCTAATTATCTTGGTTTCTGTTATTTCCTCAAGGTTGTCATAAAACTTCGGGACTTGAACCCTCATCTCGTCTGTAGTTTGTGTGCTGGATACTTCGTAGATGCTACAACTATAACAGAATGTCTTCATACCTGTTAGTATATGAACTGATTATACTTCATGATACTTGCAATACTATATAGACCATATGTATTAGACCTAATATTCAGCCTGTGGCGCAGTGTTAATAGTTCTCCCGGCTTTGGTGTGGAAGGTCGGGCGGGTTCGATCCCTGGTTCATGCCAAGATTAAGTGCCAAAACTCCGGGCTCTTTACATTGGGGATTGTGAATCCTTCGTGGCTAGGACCACTAATGTTAAATGGAGGTCCCGTTTCCAATAAGATGGGAACGTAAAAGAATCAATGAGAACGCCACAAAACCCCGGCCGTGACCACTCTCAGTTCCAAGTATCGAATCTATAGGTGAATGAGGCTTGGGTATAAGTGTATTACGGCCACTCAGCCCTTTAGTACTAAATATGCGAGCACTGAACATGCAGAAAGCAGAAAGCATATATATGATTAATATCCCAAAGCTTTTATATACAGTTATTCCAAAAAAGGTCGGAGAGGTGAATGGTTATCGGTGATTGTTGATTGAATTGCATGACCGAAAGAAACCGTGGGGTAAAAAGAATTTGTTTATTATCATTTATTAAATACTTTAGAAACAATGTGCCATTTGGTGAAGACCTTTGACCGCCAGTTGACGCTGTTGGTATTCAATTCATTTCTCAGTGTAGTGGTACCAAAATTCCTTTCGGGCGTCTAATTGGCAATAACCTATCACCATTTGCCATTCTTCTTATCAACCTTTTTTGAAATAGCTGCTTATACCCTGCTACATAACCTTACAAAAGCAGGTTTTTTAGTATTCATAGTGTTATTTGTTTCTTTTCCAGTCTGCAAGAGCTGTATCGTGAAATACCTTCAAAGTAGCAAGTGTTGTCCAACATGCAATCTCAAGATCCATGAAACACAACCTCTAGTTAACCTGCAGTAAGTTGTTGGAGCATTCTGGGATTGTTGTGGGTACTGTCATATCACAGTGTTGTCTGGTGTGTAGAAAAAAGGTCACTCATTTATAAGCTTTATTTACCTGATGCTATTTTCATAGGCTTGACAGAACAATGCACGATATTGTACTCAAAGTTGTCCCTAATCTATTCAAAGGTAAGTCCTATTAAACACTGCTATGTTCTCTTGCAAGTTACATTTATTCTTGGGGTGGAGCCATGTGACTCAAAATGCCATGTTGGTTGATCTAACAAGAGAAGCTAATCCTTTCTTATCGTGAACCAAAATGACGGCTATGATGTAACATGAGCCCCAAAAATAGTGATGTAACTTGCAAGCCCTTCTGGTAAAATAGAGTTATATATAATACTAGTCCAGGCACATCGAATGGTCTGACATTTTGGGATGCATACAAAAACTATCCCCCAGCCCTTCATGGTCACACCCATCCAGTCAGCATAGTTATCTACTCCATCAATACATATCTCTCTAGCTACCATGTTCCCTTGAACTACATCATTCCACATATATGGTTATAAATAACTTGGAAACATTTTTTWAAATTTCAGATGAAATGAGAAGGAGACAAGAATTTTATGAATCTAGAGGTCTTCCAGATATTAAAACTCATATTGCTTCAGGTATGATTAAACTAGATCTATTAATTTGATATAAAGATAATAGGAGTCATTAATGTGCATACATGTGAAAAAGGAAAAATGAATGCTTGGAAGCAAATTGAATAAAATTGTAGGGAAAAGCTGGCATTGCATAGCTGTAGTGCACTTGCCTTTCACCTATGGGGTCAAGGGGTAAATTCCATGCTCAGCATCGCATGTCAGTAAAGTTTGTCAAGTCTCTACCTTTATTGCAAGGTTTTTCTCTGGGTTCTACAATTTTCCTCTCTCCACAAAACCACAAAAGGGATGTTTCATTAATTAGAGGAGGAGGGGGTGAGGGCTGGTGCAAATAGGGGGAAGTGCCATTATTTCTCATGATCTCCTCCTTGATTCCAAGGTTTTTCTCTATGTTCTCCAATTTTCCTCCCTCCACAAAACCTAAGTGAAATGTCATTAATTTGGGGAAGGGGGGGGGGATGGGATGGGGTTGCATGACTACACTAATAGGGGCTGCATAGGAGACTACGTACATCTGATCTTTAGTTGAGATTTAAACTCCTGACACCTGGCTTGAACTACACAGTGATGAGAGACAGCACTGTTGTATCACATGCAACCAGGGTTGTCAATAGAAGCTGGCAACTGGCAGATTCCGCCATCTACTCTTGCTAATTCGGCCGCCTACTCAGCCAATTCCCAATTCTCTCACTAACTCAGCCGCCTACTCAGCCACTTCCCAATGTAATTGTAAATCTTGATTAAAGTTCTTTAAACTAGCAAAATGTGTGAATAAAATAAATTTTAACCCAATCTTTGTTGCTGTGCTATGAAAACTGCCACACAATCAAAACTACAATGATCGTTTTCCACCATCTTGAATTTTTGTGAGAAAAGTGAGACTGGTGACAAGTATGCCTCGATTACATGCTCCAGTGATTTCTGGTTTACCGCCTATTTCAATTTCATAACCGCCTACCAAAAATTTTATTGACAACCCTGATTCCACCCAGCTTATCTTCTTTCTTGAATAATAACAAGTCCTCAACCATATTTCTTTAGTTCCAGAAGAAGAAAAAGCAAAAGGATGTGAAGACATTGTAAAAAAGGACTTTTCAGGACATAGGAATAGCTATAGAGATGACAATCTGGTATCTCTTTGTTTAGAAAGGCTTGGGTAGGTTAATTTGATTTGTCAACTGATTGTAATTGTAATTATTTTTTTATCTCAACAATTTTAAGAAGGCTGGCTTGAAGCGGATAGATGAATGCTTCAAGTAAATTTTTTTAAATGACAAGTAAATATATATAACATTAAAGAAGACCCTTGAAATATGCTGTATGGCTGCAAAAACATATTCTGAAAGCAGAATTCAGTTTTTGGAAAACAATCCTCTGAAACAAGGAGCCCCAAAAATTTGTTTTTAGTTTCTTTAGATTTCTAGCATATTTTGATGGATATATATCAGACAGTAAAAGTAAAACAACTTAGCATTTCGTTTCAGATATGTAGATGAAGAAAATATGGAAGAAAGTGAAAATGAAGAAGAAAATTGTCAGTCATCATCACCACAGCAATCAGTTACCAAGGTGACTAGAAATAGCAATAGTGCAACGTGTTTCAGATTAAAAAAAAGACAAATTATAAGGCATAGTCCCAGAAATCATATATCCCCCTTCTCCCACACACACACACACAAACGAATTTGGAATTTCCAAGGGGTGGGTGGTCACAGAAAGAACAAAATTATAKTCAGTCGAAATCTTTGAGTGTTACATTCTACAGTTTTACAGTCAATCTTAATTCTTTTGCTGCATGATATCATCTACAAGAACATAACCTTCTAAGGTCTGACAATAAGTCATAATTGACCTAAAGAGTGTGAATGAAATATGTATTATGTATATATATTTTGCCACTGTAAAAGATATGCAATTTTGTTAATTTTGGGGTCCATTTTTTAAAATTAAGGTGATAAGGAAAAAATACCTAAGATGTTCAGTAAGAACAATGGTCCTCCATTTACAAAGGTACCTCAAGGTCAAGCTACATGTGTCTAATCCTAATCAGGTTAGTTAATAATGTCTTGCTCTGAAGATTGTTGTATTTTGGACTCGAGGGAGGATTACAAGGGATGCAAGGGTGAATTTCAGTAGTCTACAGCCTCTGCCAGAAATTTTTATTTCTATTTCTTATGTATCATTTGAGGAAAGGGTCTAAAGGAATTTTTTGTAGCAATGTCATAATGCCTCCCCCTGGTTTTAGTGAAATGTTTTATGAGACACCCTACATAAACATCTTACTTCAGCTTTTTTGAATTTGTAATAGTGTTTTAACCTACTTTTTAGATTGAGATATACTGCAATGATCACATTATTCATCCTTGTCGAACAATGAAATTCATATGGATCACTGAGTGGCTTGACAAGGTGAGTTAATTTCAAAGCAATCTTGACTGTTATGGGTGTGTACTGTACGTATTACACCTTACTCCACATTACAACTACAGTCCCTCTCCCTCTCCCTCTCCCTCTC